TTTTTTTTTTTTTTTTGTATTTTAGTAAGGGTCTACAGGTTCTACAAGATCTCACTACTAGATTGGACTCATAGTGATCCGCCTGTTTTATAGCCTCCTAAAAGCTGGGATGACAGGCATGCGCCACCATGCCCAGTCTCAATCCAGTCTCAGTGTGCCCCGGGGGCAGGGCCAGCATGGCAGGACTGGGGATTGAACTTCCGAGCCCTGCGTCTGCCTAAGCAGGTGCTTTGATCCACTGAACTATTTGGCTGGCCCTTTTTAAAAAAAATTTTGAGACAAGAGCTTGCTAAGTTTCCACACTGTGCTGCAACTTGCAATCATCTTTCTCTTAATTTCTCAGACTGTCAGGATTTTATAGGAAGGTACCACCATACTGTTTGCTTCTTCATGTCTCTGCAGAGTCTTAGTCGCAAGTACAATGAATAGAATTGTTTAAAACTGACTTATTTACTTTCTCCTGGTGTTATAGTAAAACAATTTAGATATCCCCCATTAATTATAATAGCAATTATGGGGTTTTTAAAATGATGTTCTGCTACACATCAATTTGTTGTCTTACAACTACAACTCTATCCTTCCAATAAGACTGCATAACTATAGGGTAGAATGTTAGAAAAAATTTTGTACAAACTACCTATGATTAATATATTCATTATGCACTTCAAATATGTACTAATAAAGCAAGGATTTGGTTGTTACAATTAAAATATGTCAGGTTATCAGAATATGGTACTGTACAAAACTTTATAGTTGGTTTAACTTCTTCCATCTTGCAAAGCTTATATATTTATTTCATTTGTTCTTTGTTGCTCTTTTCCTGTTTATTTTATTTATTTTATTTTTTTATTTTTTTGGCAGAACCGGGGATTGAACTCAGGTCCTTGCGCTTGCCAGGGAAGCACTTATTCCACTGAGCCATCTCCCCAGCCCTTTCCTGTTTATTTTTGAATTATTCATTTTAATTCCATTTTATGTTTATTTATTTTATTTCTGAAGTAATGTTTGGTATGGTATGTAAACTGGCTATCTCATTAATTGTACCTTAAGTACAACTACTTTACCAATTTATTTATTGTGTCTAATAAAAGTGAATATTCTCAGGGCTGGCCAAATAGTTCAGTGGATTAAAGAGCCTGCTTAGGCAGATGCAGCAGCCAGGGTTCGATCCTTGGCTTGCAATGCCAGCCCTGCCCCTGCGGTGCACTGAGACAGTGATTAAGACTGGGTATGGTGGCGTGCGCCTGTAATCTCAATGTTTGTGAGGCTGAAAACAGGAGGAACACTACAAGTCCAATCTGTGTAGTGAAACTGTTATGGGTTCTCAACATAGAAACCAGACAAAAATCCAAAATTAAAATTTATGAGCCTTTTATTATCAGTTGGGGGACTGCTTGACCATAATCACACAGGGGAGGACAAAGGCCAGGAGTCTTAGAAGTATACATTTGTCATTTAACACAGAACAGTACCTTCAGGGACAGTGTGACCATTACTCAGCATATGTTCTTTTTTTTTTTTTTTTTTTGGCAGAACTGGGGATTGAACTCTGGCCCTTGCAATTGCCAGAGAAGCACTTATTCCACTGAGCCATCTCCCCTGCCCCTCAGCATATGTTCTTTCTGGGAGCATTGTTTAGTTCCCATTTAACATACATCTGTGCATGCGTGGTCTTGACAACCACAGCAATGCTTTCCAGTTGGTTTAGCAACACCTTAGTTATTTTTTTTAAAGGTTTTCAAAAAAATTTATTTTCATAAATTAACACACATAACAGTGGGCATTGTAGAGTCACAAACTACCAAACAAAAAAAGGAACTGCAGGGGCACTGTATATGCCAATGTTACCAAAAAATGTACAAATTTCACTGAACTACTGACCATGATAATATAGAAACCTTCAGGCAGCGTTTACTGACCCAGATCCCAGTTCAAGGAGACGCGGAGGCCTCTCACTGAGAATTCAAATACAATTCAGCACCACAGAGGAGCTTGTGAAGACTGTTAACAAGCATCACATCTTAGTGTGCCATGTCAAACGGTGGGCTACACAGGGATCCCCTCAGTTTACAATCAAGGTAGCTTTTGCTGCTTAAAGTGTTCAGATGGTAACATTAATATGACTTCAGCAAAATTAAGTCTCTTTTTAGTCAGTTTTATACAGAAGTTTTATATAGAAGTTCAGTTCAATCAAGGAGCCCTCTCCTTACTTGAAACCAGGCAAGGACACTGTACCTTGGGCCAATTCTTTGTACTTGGGATACAGCCACCCACAATATGGTTATTTAAGATGTCCTTTTCAGGGAAAAAGCTTATAGAAATTTAAAAAAAGATATTAAAGAAAGCACCAACTGCATACTTCTCAGGTAATGGAAAAAAATGTATGACTGTCTAAAAGTTGGTCTTTTGTGGCTCTTAATGTACATGGTACAGATGATGAGAAGGAACCCTAGCTTGGAACCTTAGTTATTTTGTACATTTAGAAACATTTTGACCTTTACTTTGATTTATTTTGTAGGTCTGTTCTGGGAGCGCTCAGTCTATTGATGATTTATCTATGGTACACCAAGCCTCCTTGCTGTCTTACAAAGAAGCAGGGTCACAAGGGCCAGCCAAATAGTTCAGCAGTTTTGTTTTATTATTAATTTTGCGTGATGTGAATACCCTTTCCCATCAATATTTGTATTATGGTGCTATATATTTGGTAATGATCCTTTAATATTGGGAAGGGATTTTAAAAATACTGTTATTAAACTGGGTTTCTTCTTTGATTTTCGTATTTTAAATAAAGCCACAGTCATTTATACAAAGGATAAGCATCTGTCCCTGGGCAAATCTTTTGAGGACAGAGGTCAAAGTAAACTGCATAAGGTTTTTACATCATTTCTGTATGTATTTGATATATAGATCAATATCTGTACAAATTTAATCTTTTATTTTCTGGTAACGTGATCATTGAGAAAGTGTTTGAAACTTTCTCATGAAGTGTATATAATGGCATCAAAAATTCCTTGAGAGAAATTTATGTTCCTTTCATATTTACCAAACTGCAAATTTTCAGCGTGGATGTGAAAAGCATTAAAATTATAACTTTGTGTACAAGATGAAAATAATTCACTAAAGTCACCCTTTTTTTACACAAAATAAAATGAAAGTTAAGCTGAAAAAAAAAAACAAATAGTTCAGCAGATTAAAGCACCTGCTTAGGCAGACACAGGGGCCAGGGTTTGATCCCAGGCTTGCTGTGCTGACCTCACCCCCGGGGCACACTGAGAAGGCGATTGAGACTGGGTGTGGTGGTACGCGCCTGTAATCCCAGCACTTGGGAGGCTGTAAACAGGCAGATCACTATGAGTGTGATCTAAGCAGTGAGACCCTGAACACCCTGTAACCCCTGTAGATCCTGTACACCCCGTCCTAAATACAAAAAGAAAAAAAAAAAGAAGTAGGGTCACAGAAAGTTGAACGAAGTAGTTTTTTACATTTAGTTTTACATTAACTCATCACAGAGACCTTGTGGACCCTGTACTAAATACATTTAAAAAATTTTAAAGTGTATATTCTGAATGTTTGCCTTTTATGTTCATTCTGTTGTCTTTAGTCCCCTTATTTTTACAATGTAAAATGCAATGCATTGTTTCCACTTTTGTTGTAGACAGCCAGACAATTAAAATGCAATACAGAAATTAATATGTTCTTTATATATGTTTATAGTATTTCTAATGCCATTCATTTTGGTAGATTTTTTTTGCTTGGACAAATTCCTTTGACATTTCATGTAATGAAGCTTGGCTGGTTACAAACTCTCTAAAATTTCACTCTTAAAAATATATTCATTTGTACTTTTAAATTTTTACATATTAGCATTTATTCTTTTTATTTTTTAAAGAAAATGCAAAATATTTTTAAAACATTAGAAATGACTTAGAATATCACTACACAAAATAATAGCATTTATTCTTTTTGTTTGTTTGATTTTTGGCGGTACTGGGGATTGAACTCAGGACCTTGCACTTGCCAGGCAAGCACTTATTCTACTGAGCCATCTCCCCGGCCCACATTTATTCTTTTTTTTTACGTTTCGTATGTTTTTTTATTTGCTCCAGGTGGGTTTGTAACTGTCACTTTCCCACACCTGGATTACTTCTGATCCCACCACAAGGAGCCCTCTCTAACATGAGAAATCAGGAATGAAGACTCCTCGCCCTGCCCTCTTGCCAAGGGAGCCTCCTTTTTTAAAAGATTTCAAAGGTTACTGCGTGAGCCAGATGGACTCCACGCTCAGCTTCTCAGGTTCTGACCACCCTGGCTGAGCCCCTTTTTGGCAGGGAGAAGCAAGGGAATGCAACTCAATTCCCCTCCTTTAGCTTGTTAAACACCAAGGGGGAAACCCCCCTGGACAGTAAGCCGTCTTCAAGCTGAGTTCCTTTCCCCATCCTTGGTTAAAACCCTTTGCACATAAGGCCAGACGGAAGCTGATGTTTTTACTCATCTCGCTGTTTTAAAGCACCATTATGAAGTCAGGTTGTACAGTAGTTAACAGTACCTTTTATATATATATCTCATATCTATCATATATATATAAACTGTAAACAAGAGGTAACAGCGGCTTCTAGAAACTGGTTTTCTTCAAGGTTTCCTGTGTGGTAGGCACCTGAAATACTGTAGAAAAGTATCTTGTGTGGTGATCTCGTCTCCCTGCTGCTAGTTGGGTTCTGTTTGCATGACCAGGAATGGTGCTGGTAGGACAGCTCAGGGGCGGGGAGGAAGTTCGACCCCCGAGTGTCTAATTTTCTGCCCCTGCTTGTGCTCCTATCTGATCAGGCTAGAGACA